TTTTTAGTTGTCCGATTAATTTCTTTCTATTTTTAGTAGAGATGGGGTCTCGCTCTTGCTCAGGCTGGTTTCGAACTCCTGAGCTCAAGCAATCCGCCCGCCTCGGCCTCCCAGAGTGCTAGGATTACAGGCGTGAGCCACCGCGCCTGGCCTGGCAATCTAGATTTTTCTAACATGCACCTCAAAAGTCTACAGCCTTGCTGTGGTTTGAATGTGCCCTCCAGAACTCATGTTGAAATTTAATTATCAATGTAACGGTTTCAGGGGGTGGGGCCTTTAAGGGGTGATTAGGTCATGAGGGGTAGGCGTCATGAGTGGCTTAATGCCTATGTCATGGGAATGGGTTAATTATCACAGAAGTTCAGCCTTCTTCTTCTCTTTGTCTTGTGTGCTTGCTTCTGCTTTCTGCCCTTCCGCCATGGAGTGACCCTCACCAGATGCCGGCACCATGCATTTGGACTTCCCAGCCTACAGAACCACAAGCCAAATAAATCTCTTTTCCTTATAAATGGCCCCATTAGTGGCCTTCTGTTATAGCAGCAGAAAATGTACTGAGACAAGCCTCGCCTCATTACCCAGTTCCAAAGTCAAGTCTCTGCCTTCATTGTCACACAGCTGTCTTCCCTCTGCATGCCTGTCTCTTCTCTTCTCGTAAGGACATCAGTCATTTTGCATTAAGGGCCCAACCTACTCCGGTATGACCTCATCTTAATTTATCTGAAAAGGCCCTATTTCCAAACAAGGTCATATTTTGAGGTACTGGGGTTAGGACTTCAATATATCTTTGGTGGGGAAACAGTTCAACCTGTAACAGAGGCTACCCTCCTCCCCAGCCCCCGTGGAAATCAGGAGACTGGCAGCACCCCATGCTCTCCTTGCTAGGCACGCCTCCCTCACTGCGGTTTGGTTGCATGCCTTGCCTGTGCAGTCCAGCCCCCGGCCTGACTTTCTCCACCCCTTTGTTCCCTCATCCTCCTTTCTTTTCTCCCACCAGTAGCAGAAAAGCCTTCTCCCTGAAGTTCCTGTCACCTCACCAGCAGGATATAGTGTCTATGGAAGTGTCCCTAGCCTTGGCCTGAGCTGTGTTCCCCATACATGCTAGCTCCCTGCTCTGTGGTCACTTGTTCAACCCTGTGGGCTGGTCCTGACCTCCCCCTGTCAGATCTCAGGTGACCCCAGGGCCAGGTCCATGGGTCACACCTGCTGTCCCTGCCCAGAACCACGGGCCAGGAAGTACAAGTGCGGTCTACCCCAGCCGTGTCCTGAGGAGCACCTGGCCTTCCGCATGGTCAGCGGGGCTGCCAACGTCATTGGGCCTAAGATCTGCCTCGAGGACAAGATGTGAGCTCCCTGGGATGACTGGGGCTGGGGAGGGGCATGGGGGATTCCAGGCCAGGTCTGTGAGGGAGAGTGGAGAAGACATGCCCACACAAGATCTCATTCCCCTGCCAGGCTCATGAGCAGTGTCAAGGACAATGTGGGTCGTGGGCTGAACATCGCCCTGGTGAATGGTGAGTCCTCTGTGCTGAGGGGTCAGAGAGGCAGGAGCTGTGCCATGATCTGCCACCCTCCCTTCCACCCCCACCCCAGGAGGCTTCTGGGTATATGCCCTCCCCTTCCCTTAAGGAACTCCCAAGGAGGCCTGGGAAAGAGTCTGCAAGCTGAAGGCTCCACAGAGGAAGTGACTCAGTGAACAAAAGCATGATATCAATAAAGAACTAGAAGGTTCTAGGAGGTTGGAGGGTGGTTCATGGGGAGTCCCTGGAAGGTCTCAAATGCCAGACAGAGGCTCTGTGGCTTTGGGTGGGATATGGCTGTCTGAACAAGGAAAATATGGGGGGATGTCTGAAAAGTTTCCAGAAGGGCTGTACCAAATTGCCATCCACCTCCTATGTCCTGAGCCTGGCCTGGGGTGCTGAGGTGGTAGGGTACAGTTGCCCTGGCAGCTCACCGAGCAAGATCCCTCCCTCCCTTCCTCTTGATTCAGGGGTCAGCGGTGAGCTCATTGAGGCCCGGGCCTTTGACATGTGGGCCGGAGGTGAGTGGCAGCCACGATGTCTTGCTTTGTGACTGAGTGTCGTTCCCCTGAAATCCTGCTCTGCATCCATGCACTTGTCCACGCGCTCCGGGCTTCTCAAGTGCATCCTTGGGTTCAAAGAAGCCTGGGAGAGGGGCAAGATCACCATCTTTGTCTAGAGGCTGTGTATGGTCACAGGGACAGCCCTAGTTTCTCATACCAGTTTACCCCTGCACTTACAGTGACCCTTGGTGGGGCACATCTCAGGCCTCATTCCTACATTAGTTTCCTCATTTGGAGAACAGAGGTTGGTGGGAGAGGGGTGCTCAGTGGTGCCTGATACTCCATGTTCCATGGGACCTGTGCCCCCCAGATGTCAACGATCTGTTGAAGTTTATTCGGCCGCTGCACGAAGGCACTCTGGTGTTTGTGGCATCCTACGACGACCCAGCCACCAAGTAAGTGCTTGCCAAGGCCAGCCTCAGTCTTGCCCTTCTACAGTGACAGCTCACATTTTTTCCTTCTATGCTGCAGGATGAATGAAGAGACCAGAAAGCTTTTCGGCGAGCTGGGCAGCAGGAATGCCAAGGAGCTGGCCTTCCGGGACAGCTGGGTGTTTGTGGGGGCCAAGGGCGTGCAGAACAAGAGCCCCTTTGAGCAGGTATGGTGGAGAGCCTGGCACATCTGCCTGCCAGCCTGGGCAGCCTGTCTGCCCCTTCTCCTCGCATCCCACCAGATCCCTTTCTGTTCACGCCACAGCCTTCCCTGAATTCTGCCCCACCTGTGTCCCATCATCCCCATCCGGTGTGGCCCTGGCCCCCTTGCCATTTGTGCAGGGAGGGGCAGTAACTTTGACCTTCCCTGTCCAGTATGTATTTCACCCTCGAGACTCTTTAAACAGCGACATTTTCACGTTGGCAAGACTCACAACCGAACACCTTCCTCCCAAACATCTTCAGGGTGATCAGTCCTGGCCTGATCCTCCAGAAACCCTGTATCCCTGATTTGCACTGCATGTCCTTCTCCTGCCAGCCCTGGCCATCCTCTGGGGCCATCAGGCCCTGTGCTAGGAGGGCTCCATCCTCACCTTTAGGAGGCTCCCAGCCTGCCAAAAGCCATGGTACTCCCAAGGCCTGATCTCCACCACATGCAAACAGGCTGCTCCAGTGATTTCTGGAAGGCTCTGGCTACCAAAAGAGCAGCTCAAATCCCACCCCCTCAAAAAATGCCCCCTCTGGCCTTGTTCTTGCTGTAGCTTCCAGCAGCTCCCCACGGGTCAAGTCAGGGTTACAGACACACCTCCACACACACATACACCTTCTCGGTCCGTGCCAGGCCCACATAAGTACAAAGTAGTTGATCTGCCACTCCACCTGCAAGGGGACAGGTCAGTGCAGTTGTTGCCATTTTTCCCTGGGACAGGCAAGGGGGCGAGTGCCCCAAGAGCACACAGTTGGTCAACATGGCATAAGGGGACTGAAAGCCTGGTCCCTGGCCTGCTTCTGTCTGCTGTCTCAGAGGACTGAGGCCATGACTTCCTGCTCCCCTGGCCCGCAGCATGTGAAGAACAGTAAACACACCAACAAGTATGAAGGCTGGCCCGAGGCACTGGTGATGGAAGGCTGCATCCCACGGAGGAGCACAGCCAGCTAGCACAGCTGGGTGCCAGGACCAGGCCGAGGGAGGCCCAGGCCGAGGGAGGCGTATGCACTGCCCAGCAGGCCACAGGTGACAGCACCAGCGCAGGGCTGAGGCTCACACCCCATGCCCGGGCAGGAGCGCTCCCTTGCCCCAACATATAAGGGCTCCGAGGTGGTGACCAGAATGTGGCCTCAAGGTGGTGGGGGCTGTAGGGGCCAGCCCTGTCAGACTTTGTCACATGACCCCAGGTGCCCATCTCTTTCTTTTCCTAAAGCTGCTCCCCCTGGTCAGTCCCCACCCAGCCCTTTTCTCCTCTTGTCCCTCATGCCATCTTCCCGATTCCCAAGTGCCCTAGCTGGAAGGGCCCTGGGTGCTCACCCTCTCTCTGTACAAGTCGGGTAGCAGCCACCTGACAGGTTGGGCCATCTTCCAGAACCTCTCCCAGAGCCACTCACTGCACTGCAGGCTAAACCTATTTTCGGTGTGATTCCTTCTGGTAAGCCAAACCTACTGGCCACTCCATGAACCTGCCTGCCTCCTGCCTGGCACTCAGCAGGAAGGGCCTCCTTTGGAGCAGGCTAGCCTGGGGTGGTGGAGTAGCCGGAGCCTGATCACAGTCCCTAACGCAGCATGTGGCGGCTCCTGCAGTTTGTCAGAGGGCCCACCTTCTAGATGACCTTTTAATAAATCAATGGCCCCCAATGGAATAAAGTGCATTCAGATGTTGTCATCAGTGGACAGTCAGGGGTGGTGGTGTCCAGGGGGTTGGGTGGGGACAAGCCCCATAGGTTCAGCCAACCTGCCCCCACGGCCTTAGCAGACAGCCTTTGTCTCCAGGGCTTCTGCCCCGACAGGCTGTGGCTGAGATGTGAGTCAAGTGGTGAGTAGAGCAGCTCGCCAGCTGGTACCACCCTAGCTTTGCCTGGGAGAGATGGTTCTGCAATCTGGGGCTACAGGAAACTCGCCGACTCCAGACCCAGCACAGGTGCCTCGCCCTCACCCACTGCCTCCTTCAAGAGCTAGTGTGTCTGCCACAGACTGGCTGCCTTTGAAGTCAGGGCTGTGAAGTGTCAAGTCACGTGGGCTATTTGGCATCTCAAAGATGGGAGGAATCAGGCTCCATGGTAATTTGAGGTGCCAGTCAGGCATCCTCCAGGTGGCTGTGTCGGGGGCAACAGACTTAAGAATCCTTCCCTGGCAATGGGCTTCCTGAGCCTTTGACTCCCAGGAGTTAAGTGCTGCCTGTGCCAGGGAGAGTTCAGAGGGCAAACAAAACATCAAGAAATGAAAGGTGTGTTTTTGTGTTTGGTTTTTTTTTTTGGTGGAGGGGGGACGAAGTCTTGCTTTGTCACCCAGGCTGGAGTGCAGTGGTACAATCATAGCTCACTACAGCCTTGAATTCCTGGGCTCAAGTGATCCTTTTGCCTTGGCCTCCCAAAGTGCTGGGACTACAGGCCTGAGCCACTGCAGCCAGCCAAGAAACAAACGTATTTAAGGAGCCAGCAGGGTCGACTTAGGTGCCTAGGAGGAGAGGCTCACCAGGGAGGAAGTGGCCACGAGGCCAGGACTGCAAAGGCTGAGCAAGAGGAGTGAGGAGGGCCCATTTCGCTTGTTCTGGAGATGGTGATCATAGCAGCCAATACCCAGCCCAGACTCTGAGCCAACGACATTATGCATGTGTTCCTTTTTTAAGTAGACTTTCTTTTTTCGAGCCATCTTCAGTTCACAGCAAAACTGAGAAAAGGTACAGAGAGTTCCCCTGTACCCCAGAAACCCCCAGCACCCAATTTGTCCACACTGATGAGCTTGCACTGGTGCTTCATTCACAACCAAAACCCATAGTTGACATCAGGGTCTGCTCTGGGTGTTGTACATCCTATGGATTTTGGCAAAAATGTGTAATGACATGTACCATTATAGTATCATACGTATATTCATTTTTTTTTAAACCTCTTATGGGCTGGGCTTGGTGGCTCACACCTGTAATCCTAGCACTCTGGGAGGCTGAGGTGGGCTGATCATTTGAGACCAGCCTGAGCAAGAGCGAGACCCCATCTCTACCAGAAATAGAAAAATTAGCCGGGCGTGGCGTGTACCTGTCCTCCCAGCTACTCAGGAGGCTGAGGCAGGAGGATCACTTGAGTCCGTTGAGGTTGCAGTGAGCTATGATGACGCCACTGCACTCTAGCTGGGGTGACAGAGCGAGACTCTGTCTCCAAAACAAACAAAATCATTATGGAAAATAAACATCTTCAGAAGTAGAGAGAATAGTATACAATCAGCCCCCTGTATTTGCAGATTCCACTTCCAGGAATTCAACCAATCACAGAGTGAAAATATTAAAAAAAAATACAACTATAAAAACAATAGAAGTAAAAAACAATACAATGTACCAGCTATCTGCATAGCATTTACATTACTAGCTATGATAAGTAACCTAGAGATGATTTAAACTATATGGGAAGATGAGAGGATGTGTTAGGTTATATGCAAATATTATGCCATATATCAAGGACTGGGACATCCATGGATTTTGGTATCCCCAGAGGGTCTGAGAACCAATCTTCCCCAGATACTGAGGGACGACTGTAATCAACTCCGACGTACCCATCACCCATCTTCTGCAGTGATCAACACATGAGCAATGTTGTCTCATCTGCATGCCCCACAGTCCTGATATGTTAAATCAAATCTCAGCTTAGTTCTTCCATTGATACTTTTGTTTTACTGAAGTTAACTACACAGTCGTCACAACAACCCTAGCAAGGAAGTACTGCCATTGGCCCTACTGTACAAAAAAGGTAAAGGTCCCGGGTGAGCACAGGGGAGTTTCCATGGAGTGGGAGATTAGGAGCCAGATAAGTACAATTCCGCAAGTTTATAGATTGCCGCCATGTCAAACAGAACCTCACTGAAGGTCCACATTGCAAGACGGGGAGGGGCATGGACCCCACTGTACCTCTCAAACAACTACTGTGATTGTCCCATCTTCCTCCATTTGTTCACCAAACATTCACAAAGTGCTTGCATTGGCCCAGGTACTGTGCTGCACACCAGGAACACAGGAGTAAGCCACAGTGACAACCCCTACCTCCTCACTGGGCTGCACCCTCACTGGGGGTCACCAGCATCACAGAGATGGAAACAGTAGGCCAGTTTTATCCCCCACTTGGCCCAACACAGGCTGGAAAGCTGTTGGGGTGCAGCGCAGCCTGCCTGACTTACCACATGGAGGTGAAGCCCTCTATCTCCTGTGCGCCTGCTTTGCCAGGGTGTTCCCCTCAGGCCTACCCTGTAGGAGTTAGGACATCCTCGGTTATAAGTGCCAGAATTCAAAGTCAAACTGGCATAAGCAAAAAAGGGGTGGAATGCATTGTTCCTATAATAGACCCTAAAGCTCATGGGTGAGTCTAGCTCCAATAATGTCACCAGGACATGGGCTATCTCCATTTCTTGGCTCTGCTTTTTTCTGCATTTGCTTCATTTTCTAACATACCATCTTCCCGGGCAGGGGGGCAATAATAGAAGTCCCAGTTTAGCAACTCCGGCAGAAAAGGGAGGGCTCTCACCTTCCTGTAAAAGTTGTCAGAATCAAAATGGAGTGACTTGTTTAAAAAAAAAAAAAGAAAGAAAAGCAAAACAGAGCTGAGGAAAGCCATGAAGGGAGGGTTCTCTTGCACAAATGCCTGATACTAAAAACTGCAAAAAACACAACCTTGCACAAAGGCTATCACAACCTTACACACACACAAAAATACTTCTGTGAGGACATCTGCCCAGCAACTGTCCAAACTTGGACTGATGCCATTCTTGTTATTAATCCTTGTAGCCAGGGATAATTATCTCAAAATAATTATGTGATCCTCCTTATTTTTCCTTTAAAAATCCTGGCCGGGCGCGGTGGCTCACGCCTGTAATCCTAGCTCTCTGTAGGCCTGAGGCGGGCAGATTGTTTGAGCTCAGGAGTTCGAAACCAGCCTGAGCAAGAGCGAGACCCCGTCTCTACTAAAAATAGAAAGAAATTAATTGGACAACTAAAAATATATAGAAAAAAAAATTAGCCGGGCATGGTGGCACATGCCTGTAGTCCCAGCTACTCGGGAGGCTGAGGCAGTAGGATTGCTTGAGCCCCGGAGTGTAAGGTTGCTGTGAGCTAGGCTGACGCCACGGCACTCACTTTAGCCCAGGCAAAAGAGTGAGACTCTGTCTCAAAAAAAAAAAAAAAAAAAAATCTTTTGCCTTCCTTTACCTCCCTGAGTATGCACATAGTTTACTATGGCACATGTATTCCCATTGCAGTGCTCTATTCCTGAACAAATATCATTTTATTTTAGAGTCTCCCTCTCTGTTATTTAGGATGACATTCTCAACAGTTCCAGTACCAGTTCCTGGGGACTAATTCTCACTGGTCCAGGTTGGATTATGGGCTTATCCTCACACTAATCTGAGTGGCTCTGACTGGCTACACCTGGGCATGTGCCCACCCCAGGGACCAGCATTAGGGTGATCCACATGCAAATCCTGTGTACTGAGAGCAGAGGAGGGATGGTTCCCCCAAAGAAAATAGAAGTGCTGTGACCTGATGCTGGGCAGGCAAAAACGACAGCTGTCATTATACTTCCCTGTAAATACTAAGTGCACCCCATATTGGTACATATACTCACATATGCCTTCCATGCCTACTTATCACATAGTATTCCTAGAGGCCCCTGCCTGAAGAGCAGGAGGTAGGCATTCCTCTCAGGGTCCCCACTGTGATCTTATTACATAATACAGTGGCAGATCTCCCATCTGAAGTGCATTTATATTGTTTTCACTGTTGCTATCATTTATTTGTTCCATCTGTCGTCTCAGTCCAGAAGACTTCTCATTTGAAACTAGGTATCCTTGCCTCATTCGTAGAGCCCTTCCTACTTCTCTTCTGGCGTAAATTATGAATCCCCTAAACCAACTACAAATGTTCTCTGGCCTTTAATTTAGCAGTTCCCTTTTGCTGCAGACAAAGCCACCGAATTCTTCATGTCAGTCATCCCACCTGCCCACTCTGGCTTTTCAGGGAATGCTCAAGTGATTGATGATAATGGAGAGTGGTCTTCTGACTGCATTTGCTCTACTTGACCCCTGGCACACAATGGGAATTGTGGCTACCAAGTGGCCAGGTCCAGGTGAGTTTCACTGACAGCATCAGGTAGGCCCAAAAGCACAGGCAATTGGAATATAAAAATTTCGGTTTCCTGGGCGGGCACAGTGGCTCACACCTGTAATCCCAGCTACTCGGGAGGCTGAGGCAGGAGAATCGCTTGAGCCCAGGACTTTGAGGTTGCTGTGAGCTAGGCTGACGCCACGGCACTCTAGCCCAGGTGACAGAGCAAGACTCCGTCTAAAAAAGAAAAAAAATTTAGGAACATCTTTTTGATTTCCCTTCCCTGGCTCTTCCAGCCCATCCCCCTTTCCCCTCTGGCCAATTTTATCCCATCCTCAGACAGGACAGCTCCTACCCCCACTTCCATTTTCCAAACTACAATATTCAGCCTCAGCATGTGCCAAGCCCAGCCCTCTCACCTGTCCTAGCTCTAAGTACAGGCTACTTACATCAGGACCCCTCAACTTAATTTGAAAGGGACAGTACCAACATTCTGGGATACCAAGTACAAACACGCAAATTGCTTATGCCATACTGGTCCTGGGAAGCTAAAGAACAACCTTTTGCTATGGCTGTGAATGTTTTTGTTTGTTTGAGACAGGGTCTTCCTCTGTTGCCCAGGGTAAAGTGCAGTGGCATGATCACAGCTCACTGTAGCCTTGAACTCCTGGGTCAACTGATCCTCCCACCTTGGCCTCTCAAAGTGCTAGGATTACAGGCATGAGCCACTGCACCAGGCCTGATGTGAATGTTTATGATCATCCACACATCAAATCCTTTTGAGCATGCACCACCAACATGTGTATATTTGCTTGTATGTCATATGCACGTACTAATTTGAACTTTATAGAACACACAGAAAAATAAACTTTTATATTAAATGTTTTAAAATAAATTTAAATGTAGATAAATTTATTCATTAAAACTATTATAATTATTAATTTGAAAAATTAGAGATCCTATAGTTTTTTTCTATTTTTTAGGCAGAGTTTTGCTCTGTCACCCTGGCTAGAATGTAGTAGTGTCATTATAGCTCACTGCAACCTCCAACTCCTGGGCTCAAGCGATCCTCCTACCTCAGCCTCCTGAGTAGCTGGGACTACAGGACGACGCCAGGACGCGAGGCTAATTTTTCTACTTTTAGTAGAGCCAGGGTCTCGCTCTTGCTCAGGCTGGTCTCGAACTCCTGAGCTCAATTGATCCTCCCGCCTCGGCCTCCCAAAGGGCTGGGATTACAGGCGTGAGCCACCACGCCTGGCCTACAGGTTTTTGGTTTTTTGTTTTCACACCCACAATGATGTGTCTTGTGCACCTCCCAGGGACGAGTACCTCTGACTTTGTGAACCACTGGCCTCCATCACAGTCATCACGAGAGGTTCTTTCCAGCTGCTCCAGCAACCTTTGGGAACACACAAATCCCTTTAACTCTGCCCTTGTTTACTGTCTTCCGACTCTCCTTTCTACACTCTCCGACCACCTTTTTTTTTACATCCTTCTGCCTTCTGTTTCCATTCCTTTACCGTGAAGCCAAATAGTTCTGGAAGCTGAACAAGTTCACTTAATGTTCCACAGTATGGAATATGCGCTCGGCCAATACCTGAAGGAAAGGGGGAACTCGGCACGGAGCCTGGGGTCCCGGTCAGCTGGACTCGGCCCTCGGGCCTCAGGGCTGGGCACCCTGAGCTGTAGCATGGCCATAACTCTAACCCCGCGCTCCCACCCGCAGCAGCAGCCCAGGGGCGTCCCAGCCCTGCTAACAGCTAACTCTGTGTCCCACTGCCCCAGAGGTCGCAGCGTAAGTGGGAATGGCTAGGGTCCCTTCCCAGAGCGGGTTGCCCCGGCGACGATGACAACAGATGATTAAGATCCGCAGCACAGGGGCGGGACACGTGGGCATCTAGCACGGACCAGCTGCGACCCAGGAAGCAGCCAGCGCCGCGCGCCCGCGCCAGCTCGTCGCTCCCAGAAACGTCACATCCGGTCGGAGCCCAGCGCCGCCGCCAGAGGTGAAGAGGCCGCCGTGGGAGGGCGGGGTCCTGAGGCGCGGGGAGGAGCGGGGGGTTGGGCGGGGCGGGGTTCGACGGGGCGGGGAGGGGCGGGGCTTCTGTGGGCGGGGCAGGGCCCCAGTGGGCAGAGCTGGCTGGCGTCTGCCGGCCGGGCAGGCGCTGGCGCCCCACTAAGGGGCCGCGGTGGCAGGTGGGAGCCTCCGGCCGGGAAGGGACGGGCAGGAGGCGGTTTCTGACTCGACCCCGCTCCGCGATCGCCCACTCGGGTGCCCGGGCTCTGTGGGCTCGGCAGGGAAGGGCTGCCACCGCCGTGCGTTCGCGAGGCCTGGCGTGGCCGCGGGACCCAAGAGTGGCGTAAGGGCTCACCCTCCGCCGACCCTGAGACCGCCCGAGCGGGTCGCTGGCCTGCCTCCTGTGGGGCGGCGGCGCGCACTTACTTCTCTCCCTCCCGGGTTCCGCCCGTGCTCTGCTTGTGACCCCTCCGTCAACTTCCAGACTCCCAGGTAGGGAGGAGCCCCGAACACTCGGCCGGTGTGGAAAAAGCATCCGGGCAGGGATTCCCTTCCCTGCCTTGGGGTGCATCTGCTCAAACTCTTCTGACCCCTCAAGCAGAAATGGTGTGGAATCTGGGCTAAACCCTTATTGCAGGGACTCTAATTAAGCCACCAACCCTACTGAAAAGATGGGCATGAGGTAGATGGCCCTTAGCCTTTCCCTGCTGACTGGTTCACACTACTCCAATGGCTTCAGTCCTGGTGCTTCATCTTTTTCCCTCCACTTTGCCTCTCCTACTCCACTCTGGTTTTCCTGCCTCCCTCTTCAGTCATAAGACACAAGGCTGGGCCAAGGCCTCCAGGGTAAGTGACCCAAGCTCCAAGCCAGCAGAGGCCATGTCGTCCTGGGGTGGGGGTGGGGGAGACTTTCCCAGGAATGGGCTTTTTTTTTTTTTTTTTTTTTGAGACGAGTCTTCCTTTTGTTGCCCGGGCTAGATGCCGTGGCGTCATCCTAGCTCACAGCAACCTCAAACTCCTGGGCTCAAGCAATCCT